GTTGGGTATTAGCGGCTGACCGGCTGGCTAATAAGCCAGAAGTAGCCATTCCAGTCTCCCTTGTCTTTGTTGATTATGTATTTCTGCTTGATTGATGACAGTCTTTTCTAGCTAGCGGACGTGAACACTCGCCCGGTTGTCTTAAAAATCAGCCCAGATGAAGTTTAGGACGCGTGTAAGCTCATATTTCGATCTGTTATGCTTGTTGCAAAAATAGGATGCATGCCAGTTATGGATACAATTATAGGAATATATTACTAGAATATACTATTAGCTGGTCTTAGTATGATTACTAGAATTAGCACTCTTAGCAGTGGCATATTAACTCTGGCAGCAGAATTCTAGCCCAAACTTAGTGAAATGTTACACAGCATTTGGTGGACAGGTGTGAGGATGGAAACCAAGGCAAGCCCTGATATGCTCCGGGCATCAAACATGTATTTACTCGGAATAGCTTAAACCCAGATTCAACCTTCTTGTTGAGATCGAGGGGGTCTGAGCCCCAGCCTTGACTTTAATCAGCGTCAACTCTGACAACTAGTACCGTCAGAAATATTGCCCGTATTACTCAGTACTTATTACACTCAGCTACACTCCTGGTTAGTGGTAGTAGAAATGGCAGTAGCAGTATCAGTTTCGGTTTCTTTGAGTCTCTCTTGACACCTACTGAAAGTGATTGAGGGCAAATAGTGAGGTAGTACCCGCGCAAAAGACTACCGTCACTTAAGACAAATTTAGGCGGCGTTCTGGCCTGCATCGGGGAAAGCGGCCTACTTCCGACCCCGTTCGGTTGTCTTGACTTTGTCTTGTCACCGGTTCAAAGGCGTAAGAGTTTGGAGTGAGGTAGACAGTTGCGCGTCTATTTCATTTAAATCTCGTCTCAGTCTCCAGTCCCCATCCCTGTTCTTGGGCATATGGTGAACATTTTCGAAATCGATGGTCGAACTATCCAATGCATACCATGGTGCCTCCTTTTTCTTGTTTTTTTCGCTTTTCAGGATCTCATCAAGTGCCAGTGAACACGGTGGAACGACTGGAACCGGCCGATGAGGAGAGCCGGCGTGAGGATGACCTAACCACCTGGCGATGGATTTCCGTCTCGCTACCACTGACCCATCGAATTGAGATTGAGGGCGCCTTAACTGTGTCAAACTCACTTCTGACCAATGTCCTAACTTACGTCTTTCTGAGAGAGCATGGAATGCTTCGCTACCGCGTGGCCATTTCACCGGCAGGTTGACTCTCCTCGGAGGGTGAGGGGGTGATCTTTATACCACCACCACCATGCTCATTGTGAAGTTTCGTTTAAAAAAAAGACAGGAAATAGTCAACGCGTTTTGACCAAAAAATTGAAATGTCCAGATTACAACCTATGAGCCCAAACAGCCTTGCTTATTTTCATTTATATATATATATATATATATATATATATCTTAAATACACTCTCCTTCCGGTACCTTTACAGTAGATTGTATATTTAATGAAATCTGAAGATCAAAATTCTAATGGGTGATTTAATACACATATTTAGGTTGTTTATTTTGTTCAATGAGTTGACTTGAGGCGTAAAAAGCTGTTTACTAGAGAAGAGTTTTGTTTAGATCAGTATGCTGGGGACAAGAAGGGTGGAATGGGGTCAAATCCAACGTTTGGTGACGCTACTAAACGCTGCGGAAGAAAACTTTACGTTCGTGCGTGTCGTACTATAAGAGAATATTAATAAAGACTAGAAACTTTTTTCATTATATATATTCAGAGAACATAACATTTTTTGCATTCATGAAATTGAATTAAGTACAATTATGAAATTACGTATTATTGTCAGAAAAAAGGGTGGATTAAGCCTAAAGATCTAATTTGCAAATCTGCTAAGTTTTGGGCCATCAAATTAAGTAATAAAATTATAAGACGGTAATTTGTTTTATCCTACCAACGATAACGACCATAAACACGCATATATACAAACACCCGAGACATGCCATCAATTTTCTTTGCCAAGCCGTATGCAAAGATGTACATACAGTTTCTATCTATACAGCAGAATCAATGAATACAAGAACTTGAAACTGAACGGGCAAAAGATCATTGGTTTTTATCAAATTCGTCCCTGATATTCTGCCACTTTGCTCTGACTTTGTTACCTTAGAACTGAGCCTAGAACTAAACACATATGCTGAAAACTGCTCCGGTATACATAGAAAACTGAGTTCTTTCATTCCCAGCAGAAAATGTATCCCTAATTTTTTGGGAAGTTAAAAAACCAGCCAAATGCTCCATGTTGATCTTGACTTATTTTTCAAAAAAAGGTTAAATATACGGACATTTGACACCAAAATATCTGATAAAAGCGCTTTTTCAAGTGGCAACTCCTTACTGAAAGTTTTTTAGTTAATATTAGGCATATGATGGACTTGCATTGTTCCCGGCAATGATTTGACATGCGACAGATAGTCGCATAAGAAAGGATGTTTAAAACTCGTTATTTAGGTAAAAGCGTTTAAGAAATGTCTTATTTTGAAGGTTTTAACCAGTGCGTAGAATATAATACTTATTTATGGCCAATCCCTTGAAGCTAGTGAAAATCGTAAATTATTAATCCCATTTCAAGAGCGATCTGAACCTAGTCGTAATCGAAATCCCAAAATAGTTACGGGGAATGGGACAAAATGAAATTTATCTTAATATACACACAATGGTACTTTTACAATTGCACCGGCAATTCCATTTAATTTTTTTAGTTACTGATCAGCATATCGGCACGTCAGCTTGCGTAATATCTTACTTTTGTGACCTCCCAATCGTTGCAACAAAGCAAAAATCCTGTCGCCTTAGTCCAATTTAAATAAAACAATGTATAAACGGAGGAAGAAACTAGCAAATCTCGTGAAATCGTGTTGGAATACACACTCGAACTTTGGGTTTTTTGGTAACAGCCATACGTTACATTGCACATAATATAAAAGCACATTAATTCGAAAATTTTACAAAGCAATTATTTTCCAATGTAATTCTATTAGTGCTATTTTATTCACTCGGTGCTTTTGCGTGAACAGGCTTCCTCTAAATTTAAAACTTAAGTCTACCTAGTACGCCCAATTTTCAGTTTTTTTGGAATTTTCCGCTTTTCTAAAAAAGTTGATATTTCTAAAAAAAAACTTTATTTTACTTGATAAACCGCAGTCCTCTTCCTTTGAAGAACGACCATTGCTTTATTGCTGTAAGACTTTGGGGGCCGCACCCTGGGCTGATTTTGCGTAACAGGGAGTTTCTTGGAAAAATCCTTTTGATTTAATGAGTTGGAACACCTGTTGCGTCTGTTATAGGCAGAATTACATAACCGGCAAAGAAAATGGAGATAGGAATGACCTTTTCTGGCTTATTAGCCGTCACCAGCCAGTCATACCCAATCTCAGGAGTGGATCACTCGCTATTCGTGACAAGGGTTGGTGAGCCCCACACTACCACCGTACTCCTGATCACATTCGACAAATCAACGGACCCGTGGCTCAGTGGTTGACTCTTACGCCCAGTCAATGACCAAAATTTCGTGGATTCTAATCTCGGCTTGGGTAGGTTTGGCTGATGGTGGCTGTTAGGAGGGCACAACACTCGCGCCGTCCTCGAGGTAGGATAACAAAGACAAAAGACGTGAGACAGCCGCCGACCAGGTTCTGAGGTCACGCATGACAAGGGCCACCAAAAGATGCATGCAAGTGCTTGCGTCACCGAGGGCGCGAATGGCCACCTGAGCACACGGGGGCTGGAGGCATGACGGCTGCCAGTAGAGGCCACTCGTGGAGAGCCAGTAGGGAACGATGACAACTGGCCCTTAAATATGCTGCCACCGCTGA